CCCATATCGAACAGGACGCGTAGTGACAACTGTGATGCTTCAATAGGCCAGATTTGTTTGGAAACCAGGTTTCCCCCAATCCTCGGGGGCGGACATCCGGGCATTTACTACCACCTGGCAACCCTCGCGGTGAAAACAAAGACCAAAAACTCGCAGAAAACGGTACTTTGCGATGGTTGTTGAGAGTCCCCTGAACAGCGTAACAAGATTAGCCCTACGTGTGTAACATATATGAATTTGGTTGTTCAGGATACTGGTTGTTACTGGTTTGGTTGTTACTTCAACGTTGAGTTTGTGTTGTTTTCTCGAGTTTTCACCGGCTCCACCGGCGTTCCACAGCAGCGCGCACAAAGCCCATAGAAATACGTGGTACAGTGGTGCGCGTCTTAGCAACGTCGAACGTATGTGACGTAGCTCCGCTCCCGAGGATATTACTAGATCATTGCATATCGAGCATCCTTTGCTTAGTTTAATTTGACATTTTATAGTGATATTAGTTTGTAATATGACACAATCACGGTGTAATCATGTATTATTGCAACATTTTTACATAACTTACCCTTCTCGGAAGAGTTTGTTGTCAGGTGTGATGACCTAATCTCTGCGTTCAGTTCATTCATCTTCGTATCATAGATATTGTCGTTCCACAATTCAAAGTATAATTTACCACTGCATATGAGTCCTAATGGCCCATCTATACTGAAACAGCGAACACGTGAATACAAGTCTATTGGTAGAAGGTCCCGCAGTTAGAACAAAACAAAATATTCACGCAGATACAAATAAACTCGGAAAACCAAAGTCATTAGAAAATAAAGGTAAACAGATGGCAAACAAGACACATTACTTCACGCACACCGTAAATGTATTAAGAACTCATTAGACAACAATCATGTATGAGTGGCGCCCTCTTGCGACAAAGCAAGATTATCAAGATCAATTGCATAACACTCGTATATCGTCAACGGTATACTGACTGCTCCTGAATAATCTGAACTGTCAAATTGTAACAAATGTAGGTGTACTATGCGCGTGTCCGCTGGGCGTATTTTCACTCACCAAATTTAACTCCTTTTTCGACAATGAGAGGAATTATCTTTTTGCTGTTGTCCTGTGCATATTTAGCCTCCATCATACAGTTTGTGGATGCTTTGTACTTGCTCGATACGCATATGAGCACAATTGATGCCTTTTCCACTGCACTTGCCATCGAATCGTAAATGTCCTCTGAAAGTACAAAGATGCAGTACAAAGGTTAATATGCGCATGCGCTATAAATTACTGGAAAGTACTACATTTACATTGTTTTTATTACATTCAACGACTTAGTATGATTACGATAAATGATAATGAATATGTGCATTGATATATCGAACTAAACTAAAAAACAAATTCTAAAGTTATCGCATATATTTCTGAATTTCTACATTTCTACACAACGAGCTGCGTACACATACCTTTCATTCCACCGCTTACATCCATCCATACATTGTATCCCCGGCTTTCTAAATCTCTTCGTATCCGTTGAACTCTACCCTGGCTATCCCACTGGTAGGATAGCATTATATAACCGTCTGTTTTTTTCTGTGCCATGGTCGTGGATTGAAATAACTGAATTAAAAATCATCCGATCGTTAGATTAATAACAATGATATACATTTGTAACATTTGCAGCCCCGTGTCACTAAGACACAAGAATGTTCATTTCTAGGTACCTCGGTAGTTGTTGCTTTAGCATTATGTGTCATTCGAAGTTACACAGATTGTTCGCGTAATAAATGTGGAAATGTCCTCTGATAGAGAATGACTCCGGGTTCCACAAGCGCGCCACCATCGGAGGACTCAATTGATGATTGCAGAATAATAATGAAGTACATATCTGCCTATAATTAGGTGTATGAATAAGGTTTATTTATACATACTTAAAATATCCCAGTACAGCATATGTGTTTGAACAATATAATTGTGAGATTTAAAGGTTTTTGTTGAAACACGGACTACTAATTTCGATTTCATGAAAGTTCATTACACTGAAAACTGCACTATTTACATTATACTGTAATATTTGCAATGAGTCGACGACTACGACACAGCGTTTGTGTCAGACGTCCAGATCACGGTGCATTGACACAACACTTTACATAACTTGTACTTTAACCACTGCAATTCTCGACGGAAAGTCAGTAACAATATGTGCATTGTTCCTAAGTATTTATAAATGCCTCCAGCTATGATATTTAATCGGTTAGGCAACATACACGGGCATGTATGTACTTGTTGTGTGTGGATTGTTATTGATCGCGGCCAAAGTTCAAACTACACCATTCGTTTGGTAACATTTTATCTGACCTGTCTCAGATTTTTTGTAATAACCCACTCGCATGCCCCAAAAGTTCATTCAGAAGAAAAAAATGATAACGTTCAATGCTTAATTAATGTCTTAGTGTTTAACATTTTGGTGATTCAGCTAACAGGTGAGTAAAACCCAGTTACGTCCATTGACCCACTGTGTCCAGTAATTGAGACTATTAACTCAGGCATACAGTATACCCATTAATTCGTTTGATGCAAATGTCAAAAGTGCACGTTCTTCGTCGCGATTTACATCAAGCATATGTCCCCAGTCTTAACCTGCCGATAGTAGTATATCGGAGTGAAAAACAAAGAGCCCATTTTCAATAGAAAGATGTGTACTTCGTCAAGTTTTTGTCGGGTCCATATGTAACTAAGAACACATGAAAACTTACCTGTGATTTGTGTTGCAGCCTCGACTCAGTTAGATACACAGCAAAGCTATTCATATGCTAATTATTACTAAGAACTCACTCAAAGGAGTGGGTGCGTAATATATGTTCATGCATATTTTTTACCAAAAAAAATGTAGAGGCTCTTTGGAAAATTAACAAATAAGAAAAGCAAAATTAATAAAAAAAATGTCAAAAAATGCCCGTGATTGCCAAAATAGCTGAAAAACAGACACAAAACAGTCAGTAAAGTGAAAATGTGCGTACTAATCGATTGTATTTGTTATTCCCGTGAGCGAAACACGCAATGGGAGTCTTTGTAGTTAGTGTGTATGCATGTGTCCGACTTTTGTTGGTTTTTGATGAAACTCGCAGCATAGATGCTCTGGGCTGATGCGCAGATTTTATTGGGTTTTGGTTTAAATTCATACATGATACTTACCTAATTTGCATGATTATTGGCTAATTAGCTGTTCATGTTCCATGA